ATCATTTTAAATTTTAGAAATTATTTTAGGCAACTTTTTTAATACGTGAACATTTATTCCACAACTAAATGCTGAAATCCTCATGATGAACTTGACACTGCAACCGCTGCATCTTGGGTCTAGGAGTTGTTCTTTCACGGAATCTGTGCCTGAATCTGCAGGAGACAATTTTTAGGTGTCTCATTCAACCAGTACTGGTGGTATTTCGTTTTTTAGCCTTGGCACTCCAGTTATACTTTCTCTTACGCTTGGTTGGGTAATTTAAAGCAATTTTTTAAGCCTAGAAAACACCAACTAAGTAAAAGACAGCTAAATAGCTTAATATTGACAGAGTTGCTTTCTAAAAAGTTTGTCGTATTTTTGTCTTCAATGTTACCACTGCCATCAAAATTTATACTTAGGATGCCAGTTGAATAGAATAGAGTAGCATCATTTGTTCCAAGTCCTTTCCGTTCCACTTTGGCCTTTTCCCTAATTTCAAAACCCATGCACTGCATGGGGTAGATTCCATCTCATAGCAACCACATAGGTCGGAGTAGAACTGCTCTCTAGGTTTTCCAAGACTAAATCTTTTCAGGAGCAAACAGCCCCATAAAATAGCCTTCCCTTGGTTTTTACTTTCAGGCAAACACCTTACCCGCCCTCCTACCTTCCAACTCAAACTCTTGAAAATCTCAGTGCCATTTTATTATCTCTGTACACATTTCTTACTCATTTGTTTCTTTCAGCCATTACTGGTCATTATTGTCACTTAGATGTTGATTGGTTGACAAATTTTGTTCCTGATCTTTTCTTCTGCCATTTGTTTGTTTGGCATCAGTTACTTACCTACTGTTAGTTTCTCCAATCCCTAAATCTCTCCTAATTCAGACATTGGACATTGCCATTTAGTCTCATGGTCTTAACTGCATCATACTCAAAATTCATTATCTCCAGGTAAGTTCCCAGTTTTCTCTTGGTTAATAACAATACTGTTCAAACTGATCATTAAATTAATGGCCCTCCCACTTCTTTAAGAACTTTCTCCCAAATCCAGCCTCTTATTACTCTGCCAGCTCATGAAGTCCAGATTTATAACCTCTCGTCTGAAGGCTGCCAGCAGCCCCTTCCTCTAAGTCCCCATGTCACCAACACTCCAACTTCTCTGTGTGTTTTCACTGCAGTCCAAGGTACTTTGCTGAGAAACAAAACTGATTTGTGGGCTTTGTAAACATCCATTGTCATTCAAGCATACACATTTGCTGTCATGGTGTCAGTTGTGTCTTATAACTGCCCCTTTGGGCTTCTGAGACCAGAACTCTTTACGGGAGCAGTAACCTCATCTTTCTCTCAGATTGTCTTGTGGTTTTGAACCAAGCCCAGCCCACCACCCACAACTACACCACAGGGCGGCTCATTATTCCTGCTACCTATAAACTTATTAACCC